AAATGCTATTGCAAATGGAAAGCTGGATGAGCTGTGATGGGACTTTGAGCAGCCTGTGCCCTGATGTGTGCACCCTCTGTGAAGTGTGCTTTAGAGGCACATAAAAAAACCTGTGATGGGAAGAGGAGGGTGGCATCTGGGGCTTGGGCCTCAGCCTGGTCTCACCAGAGGACCCAGCACAGGACAGTATTTCCCCAATTACCTGTGGCTAAAGCAAATTGTCCTTTTCCCACTCCTTCCTTGTCTCGTTTTTCAATGTCTCTGACTCACGCCCCACTTTGTCAAACAGTGATGCCTTCCGAGGCTCTCCTGAGAGTCGTCCCCTGCAGAAGTCTCAAGGCCATTCTTTCAACCAGCCTTTTACATTTGCTTCTTGTCACAGATGCACACAGATGCCCATTTGCAGCAGCAGACATGAAGGCCAGGCATCTGGGGACATAGTAAGGGGAGACGCGCCTTTTTCCAGCCTCTTCTGCTTCTTGGGAGGCCACCATGCTCCTTCCTCAACCAAGGCTTGCCAGCAAAACACTTTGCGGCAGGATAGTATCTGATGCCAAAGTCTTTCTAGCCTTGAGCTAATGGACCAGCTGGATGGAAAAGAGCAGGCTTGGAGATGTCCCCCTAAAAGAGCTTCTGGCATGAATGAGCTTCATTAAGCAGCAATTATTATATTATCGCCATAAATATTTTAACTTCTCAAGCACAGCAAGGAGGAAATAACTCTTCAGGGTGGAATTAATAAGACCAAACCTCATTAAATCTCCCTAGGACAGACTGACAAATATTTTAATAAGATGAAGGAAAGGATTCCTTCGGAGCTGGTGTTCTTAATGACTTGTTTTTGCAACACCAAACAGGACATTTGCTAGAGGAGAGTCTGAGGGATTGCTGAAAAGGCCCGGCTCCTGAGAACAGATGTCACAGCTGGGTTGGCAAGCAGCCAGATTTGGTTAAGTGAGGGAAAAAAAACCCCACACCATTGTTTTAATTTCAGGCCAGACTTACTGGCCTGCCAAAAAGCATCAGCACTTCATGGACACCCCAATATTCCTCTGTACCAGCTGGCGTAGCTTTGTACCCAACAGCCATTCAGAGCACCTCAATGCAGGGAGTTAAGCTGATTTAAATGAACATGGGAATCGCCTGTATGATTTTTCCTAAAACTGAACCAAGATTGTAGGCTGTAGTAATAAAATCCAAATGTTTAATTACACATACCCCACAGCCTTATATTCTAGCACCTGGAGCCAGTCCACATGATCAGACAGTACTCAGCATAGCCTGTGCCTTCATAAATATGATTTTCCAAAATGAGTAGACTCCCATGCTGGGGAGAGAGATCGGTTCACATAAGGCACAGGAAGAGTTGATCAGAAAACTGTTTCATGGCGTTTGCAGGAGACAGGCTATAGAGTCTTGGAGAGCAGCAGAAAAGTGGAGGTAAATAGCAGCACGTTACCCCGTTTATTTGGTGTATGGACTGAAATGGAAAAGCAGCGGTGCACTCTTTGCACCTGAAGGGAAATGGAGTGTGAGATAAACAGCACAGATGCGCTCAGAGCATCTGTAGGTAATGTGGTACATGGTTTGGACAGCTATCAGAGGAGAAGAGGACAAGGCAGCGATGTTGCAGATCTCACTGGAAAGGGACGTTAATGGGGAGTTACTGTGTCTTTGCAGTGCTTGGGGTAGCAGTGAGGGTCTCAGGGCACAGCGACCCAGGTGCAGCCCCCAGCCCGAGGCTTGCATCCAGCCCCTGTGCTCAGCAGGGCAAACTGTGTCCCAGAAAACCAGTGCTCTTCATTAAAAGAATTATCCAATCAGCCACTCGAAGGAGTGCACACAGCTCTGTTTTTAGCAGCAGGAGCCCCTGGAGGTCTGCAGGTCTGTGTTAAACCCACGTGGAGGGACACAGCCCCCAGCCCACGGGAACAGCCACCCTCTGCTGAGGCAGCAATCAGAGACCCCGCGCCAGCAATCAGAGCAGGGCTGGGTGTAAGAGTTAATCAAAACCTATCTGTAATTATAGCAGAGCCTGTTTGAGCACCTGATTAATATAGTTATGCCTTCACTATGGGCAAGCTGCTGGCTGCAGGCGGTGGGGGGAGCAGCTGTGGAGGGGGGGGAACCACAAAAGAAATTGTTTCAGATCCCAAATGAAATTATATGTCTTTGCCAAGGAAATGTATTGATTTTAATATACCCTCCTTAGCCAGAGTGTGGGTAGTGGAAGAGGTATTAAATGATAAAATAATTGCCTGGGTGAAGCGGTGAATTTGGCCCACTCAGGGGCTCTTCCCAAAGCCTGTCGGCAGAGGAAGATGAAGGGTGAGACACCTTCAGAGTGAATTTAATACATTGTCTATACAGCATTGTTCAGATGTGATGTGTATGTCTGTGCATATATGTATAATACGGTGCTTGAAAAGAATACACACACATATATAGGGTATATTGCTCATTCTGAGTGAGTTATGAGTATTTTTTTAGGGAAAATAGAGACCATCCAGCTATCCAGGAGTATTTTTAAAAGCATTCAAATTTTTTCCCCAATACAAATGATCAACAAATATTTTCACATCACTGCCTTGGCTCTATTGCTCTTTATTTCTCTTGCGGTGGTGCCTGTGCCTCCCACAGAGAGGGCTCGGTGCACTGTTCCACCAGCTGCTGCATCTGTGGTCCTGGACTGCCTGTGAATCCTTCTCCCTGCTTGCACAGGGTGAGGCAACACTGGGCAGGACTCGGCAGGAGATGTCCAAGCTTGGCGTGGTGGCTCTGGTGTCCAGGGGGTAAGAGCTTGGTGTGCAAAAGCCCCTCAGCAACCCCCTTCATAGCAGGCAGGGAAGGCAGCCAGCCTCCAGAGGCTGTGTGGTCTTGGGGCAGACATCCTGGTAAAATAAGGCAAAATCCTGAAGGGGAGAACAAGGGATACATTGATCTTTGTTTAACCCTAGTGAGACAGAGGTGGTCCCGAGGCAGCCCGGGTGGGGACACTGCTCCATCACACTCCTCATCCCATGCTCTATCCTACAGGCAAGCGGTGGCCCACTGGCTGCGCTCGGGTTCTGGGAATTATGAATCTCCATGTTAACACTACAGCAGCGAGCAGCTACAGGAGATTGTGGATGCTTGGCAGTTTGCTTCAGCATCGCCATCCCACGATGCTCACCATGTTATGCGTGTCCCCCCAGAAACACCATGGCTCTGACAGGGAGGAGTGCAAGTGTTTTGTGTTAGAGAGAAGTCACTAAGTGCCACGCTAGTTAGATGCTCAAAAAGCCATCAAGAAACTCGTGCTCCCTACCAATTCAGGGGTGAGAAAGCAGCTCTGCGACCAGTTTCTTAGAAGTGCTTTTCTGCAGCTCATTCTTCATTTATGATTTAAAATAGGAGATAAAGGCCCTCTGGGTTCTTGTGGAGCTGCTGCAGTTGCCATGGAAATAGGCCTTGTTAATCACTTTGCCATAAACCAAGAATAATTTGCTTTGGGGAGCTTGGGCTACTCATGTTGTGCCACTGTGTGCTCAGGTGGTGCTGGTCTGATGCTCTGGTCTCACCCTGAGTTTGATCATTGTTGGTGGCATCTAGGGAGCCAGGAGTGTCTGTCCCTGTCTCATGGCACCAAGAAGCTGTGAGTCCCAGAGTAGTCCCATGCCTGGAGGTGCCAGCATGTAGGGACAGGCTGCCTGGGGGGGGGTCTGCCTGGACCACCTGTTGTCGCAGCAGGCACCGAAGGGCTGGAAAGAATCTGGGGAAAATGTGATGTGAGTGAGTTTGGGTTTAGAGGAGCCTTTTTTTCACCACAACTTTTTTTTAGCTCTGATGCTGATCTTCAGTCAGATCTGATGCGGCCAGTGGCCTGGCTGGGCTGGTCTTGATCTGGTTGGGCAGAGGTCAGACCAGCTGGGCTGGTGTTGGAGTGGTATTGGCCCAATGTTGGACTGGTTGTGTCAGTGTTAGTCTGATTGTACTGGTGTCAGTCTGGTTGTGCCAGTGCCCTGCCTCTGCTGGGCATGGTCCTGTTCCTCCGCCTTCTGCTACCCACCAGCCCCTTCCCAGTACAGCCTTGTGAGAAACTGGGCTGTGCTGGGAAGGGGCCCCAGGTGCTTTAAGCCTTGTGCTGTTAAAACATTTTACTAAGGGTTCTCTGTCTTGCAAGCGTTTGGATTGCCCTGAAAGCTTCTGTCACTTGAGCAGCTTGTCCTCCTCCACCAAAGCTCCCTGGGAGCAGACCTGTGGGCTGTCTCCACCCTGCCTCTGGCTCCAGATGGCCAGAGCTTTCCTCTTCTCCATCTTCAGAAAAAAAATCCAAATGCCAAAATATGCTCTTGTCTTGCAGTGTGAGATGAGCAGGAGGCTGGATGGGGGCTGCCAGAGTTTTCTGTTGCTTTCTTCCTGGGGAGAGCCATGTTGGTCATCCCAGACCCCTTTTGCGTGGGGTTGCCCATACTGTTGTGGACTAAAGCACTAAATAGCATGGTGAAGCTCTCGGGGTGGGGATCTCCAAAGCAGAGGAGGGGCTTCTTTTCATACCTGCACCTGCTGGCTCTTGCCCTGCAAGGCAATTGTAAAGTAATATAAGATCACAGTAAAGAGAGCAACTACAGACTTTGGGTAATCACCTCTTCGTGTTACTTTATTTATCTATAAATGAAGCGGTGCTGATGTGCTCCCCTGCCCACACTCCCCCCCGTCGCAGCCTGTACTAGTCTGTCCCAGGGATGATGGATGCTGGAGGGGCCACATCTGGCCCCATTCTGGGCAGCCCACAGATGCTGGAGGGCTGCATGCTGGACAACTCGTGGATGCTGGAGGGATACATGCTTCTGTGGGGTGGGACAGCATATGCTGATTCTTCCTGTGGTCATTATGGTCTGGGACACAGAGAGAGCCAGCCAGTGGGTGGGATGTTGGATGGATGTTGCCCCAGCCGAGGTGCCCACCAACACTGGGTGGTCAGTGATGGGTCTCACTATGCTCCCTGTCCACCTTGGCAGGTGTACGAGAGCGGCAGCAACGTGGACCAGTTTGTGACCCGCTTCCTGCTGAAGGAGACGGCCAACCAGACCCAGTCACTGCTGAGCTCTGTGGAGAGTGCCGTGGATGCTATCGATGAGCAAACTAATCCCACCAGGTCTGTAGCACCTCCTGCCCTCCTCCTTGCTTCCCCATTGGTGCAGGGGGTCGAGGGAGAGAAGGAGGATGCTTTTGTGGGGCAAGGGAAAATGCAGTGGCCAGGAGCAAAGGGGAGCTGGTCAAGTGGCTGCCTATCTCTCTGCCTCCCTTCCCGGCTGCCTGAGAGCTCTTGGGGCTTTTCTCCACTGCTCTGTCCTGCCCTGTCCCTCAGCCCTAAGGGTCCCTCTTGACGCCTTCACCCATGAGTGGTGCGGGGAGGGGTATGCAAACCAGGGTGCAGCACCCCATGGCCAGACAGGGTGGTACTGGTTGCACAGGGCCACATTGAGTCTCTTCTCCAAACAAAGCCACCGGTCCCATCCATGGCAAAACACGGGCACCAGCAACACAGTGGCTGTGTCTGGGGTATGCTGGGGACAGCCCGCAGTGGGTGGCTTCCTGTGCGGGGGATGCTGTCCCTCCTGCTGGGGCACCCAGCAAGTGAAGTCATCCACAGAGGCAAAAGGTGCTTGTGCACTGTGGACAGGTCCCGTATAAGGGGACCACCCCCATCCCACCATCCCAGCACATCCTACCAAGCTTGAAGAAGACAGAAGAGATGGTTTCAACGTTTCTCAAGTGCTGGCAGGGCTGAAATATAAGGAGTACCCGGCAGCATAACCCAAACTGCAGCAGAGCCCCCTGCTTGGTGTCACAACGTGACCTGTCTCTGGAGTACTGGCATCACCGGCTGTAACCAGGACAGGTTGCCATGGAAACTGTTCATCACCTGCTCATGAAGCGGATCCCTCTCCTACCATACCTGCAAACCAGGAGCTTGTGGGATGCTCAGGGGGATGCCTCGGTTTCCCCAAGCCATGGGCAGGCAGAAGGGCCAAGCCCAAATGCTTCATTGCAGCCAGATGTATTTTGGGTTTTAACATCAGCAGCAGGCATGTCCCAGATGGTGGCAGTGGGCTGGTATAGCAGGAGCCGTTGCTGCTTGGGACACAGTTGAGGCCCTGGGCAGCTCTGGTGACATCTCATCAGCTTTCCTAGGAGAAATGCTCTGGGGTTCATCACCCCACATTGCTTTCTTCTCCCTGTTTTAAAAGGAAACTACTGGCCTGCAGCAAACCTTGCAGAAAACATGGAGAAAATACAAGCTCCTGGGAAACAATGTGGAGGAAACGAGTCCAACATCAGACGGAGCAATTAGAGCCCATGAAAGACTTTGCTGGCTTTTATTTGCTGACATGTGGGCCCAGTTCATAATGAGGAGTATTGTAGTTGTTTTCTCATGGTAATAATAGCCAAAAAGAACCAAAACCACCCCACTAAAAATGATCTCACACATCTGCATGAAGATAAAGAAGAGTCCTAAAAAGCACCAAAATAAAGGGATGTAAAATGAAGTGCAAGAGCAGGGTGTCCAAGCCTGAGACACCTCATTAAATTCTGATTAAAAAGAAATCTCTGTCTGTTCTCGCCTAATTTCCTGCCTATTGATGGGGGATTATTCAGCACTGGAAGGGGGATTATTACACAGCCTGTAGCAACGGGGATGTTCCTGCTACCTTTGTTGCTGTTCTTGCCTCCTTATCTTGGCGATGCTCTCTGGTTGCAGGCACTACCCCAGCAAGGCTGGCCATGGTCTGATGGACACCTGGTATGACAGCACCGTGCCCAGCTACTCTCCCACCAGCCGGATGGTCCCCAGGGAGTATGGGAAGAGCTTCCAGACTGGTAAGTGATGGCCACTTCTCAGCCGTGCCAGCAGCCTGGGGTGGCCCAGGGTGCTCAGGAAAGAGAGCTGTGGTCCCAGTGGCAGCATGGAAGTGATGCTCAGCTTCCCTGGAGGGCAGCAAGGCTCTTGGGGGACATCTCTCACTCCATCACTGCCTCTCGGCTCCCTGCAGGTTCCCCCGACACCAAGGCAGAGGGGTTGGAAGGACAGATCAACAGGCTGGCTGAGCTGATTGGCAGGCTGGAGGACAAGGTAAGGACCAGCGTTTCAACCTGTGGGGCTGTCCCTTGAGTATCCCTGCAGCCCCAAGGGATTTGGAGGTGATCAAGAGGTGGCTACGCCCATCTCTGCATCATGATGTGCATGGGTCATAGGTGGGAGATGGTTCCTGGTGGTGGTGGTGTTGGAGGATGTTACTTCTGATGGGCTGATGGCAGCTATTTGGATGTAGCATGATTAAGAGGGAGTTTATTTAAACAAGAAAGAGACATAAGGAAGAAGGTAAAGTCTCTTGCAGAGGCAGTCTGACTCCATCTAGGGACTGAAGGAGAAAGTGTTTCGATGCAGGAAACCTATTGGTTTGCATTTTCAAGTCAGAAGGGGAAGGGAGCAGAACGGGTAAAAGCAGTGATTCAGGACAGGAAAATATTGATTATGGTTGCCAACAGAATTAAGAGTGAGCCCAGAGCTGGGGAAGGCACAAGAGGGCATTGAAGAGAGGTGGGTACCCCTGCTTCTGGGTCCCCAGGCAATTCAGGGACCATGAAAAGGTGACAGCCATTTTGGGGCTGATGCAAGTATTGGGGATGTCAGCTCCACTGGGAGCATGAGGAGCTTCTGCAGAGGGTCCTGACAGGAAGGTACGTGAGTGTAAATGGCTGTTGGAGCCATCCCCTGCAGAGAAGGGGGCATGGTCCATCCTGCCAAGTGCTGGAGACAGAAAGCCACCAGCCTGGGGGCACATGCAGCCTCAGCCCACACCTCCGCCTCTTTCCCCCCATTTCCCAGACTCTCTGGTTTGACCTGCACCAGCGGCTGTCGGACAGTGAGAGCACAGCTTGCACGGTGAGTTCCAGCCACTGCTCGTGGGGTGCTGGAGTGTCCCTGCAGCCTGGCATCGGACTAGGGGCTGGGGAGGGGTGGGTCACCCTGTTTTCGAGTCTCACATGCCGCTTTGTTTTGGGGGGGTCCCGGCAGTACCTCCTTCTGGTGCGGGACGAGATGACGGTGTCGCACAAGCACTTGGGCGAGTTTTGCAGCTCCCTGAAGCAGTACCTGAAGAGCGTGGCCGGGGAGCGGGATTGCTTCCAGTGGGTACCATCAACAGCCACATGTCAGAGGGCTGAGAGGTCAGGGGAGGATGTTGGGGGGTGTCCTGCTGCCCTGGCAGCAAGGGACACTCCACCAAGTGGAGGGCTGAGGCAAACAGCCAGGATTTTTGGATGTAGTGATGTTGGGCTACCCCTTTTGCATGGGGTGGGGAGTGCATGGGGTGGGGGGCAGGGAGTATTTCCCAAACCTGGACTGGTGG